CCCCATGCATGCTAGCGATTGTTCTTATGACCATTCTTTGACAACTCCTGGAACTTTCACTGTCCTCATCACACTGATTTTTCCAAACATGATTCCTTCTCCCAATCAGGTCCCCTGTGCATTTCCACTGCATCCCCATCCCCATTTGTAGAATGGCGAAGCAACTACGAATTCATGCTTCCAGAAGCCATTGTCCTCTTTTGAGAACTTTCCAGCAAGATGGAATTCACACAGTCCCCTTGGATGCTAAGGGACGGCTTTGTCCCTGTCAACATCTCTCTGTCATGTCCTCTAGGATGAAAGGTTCTTACCTCAAATAATGGCCCCCATAGCGCATGGTCTCGTGGTGAGACACAGGTGTTAAGCCGAGGAGAGGGCGGGCCCTGCCTGCTGGAGGCACCGGGTGTGGCCTGCGGCCGAGCTGGCAGCCTCCTGTCTGAGGCAGAGCCATGGGGTGATCACTTTCCATTTCATTGCAGTGGCTGTTGGTTTTATTGGGGAAAGTGTGAGCCAAGTTACCTGCCCAGGGGACTTAACCACTCCGTGCCTCGCTTTTCTCAATACAACAAAGGGGTTTGACTGGAGGATTGCCGTCAGCCCTTCTAATTGGAAAATTCTGATTGCAAACAAGCCTTGATTTTGAAATGACATTTTAAGTAAAGAATAAAAATGTAATCATTTAATATATAGTTAGCCTCATTTTGAGCCATTTTACCCTTCTTTTTATATTTTCTTTCCTCCTTCCCTCCTTCCCTTCCCTTCCCTTATTTTGAGCCATTTTACCCTTCTTTTTATATTTTCTTTCCTCCTTCCCTCCTTCCCTTCCTTTCCCTTCCCTTCCCTTCCCTTCCCTTCCCTTTTCTTTTTTAATACCCAGTGCCCTTCAAGCTGCAGGAGGGAGAAGTCCGGGTGATTTCTCTGGAGCAGTGTCAGTCCTACTTCGACATGAAGACCATCACCACCCGGATGATATGTGCCGGCTATGAGTCTGGCACAGTGGACTCGTGCATGGTAAGTTGTTTTCTGATTATTGAGGTAATTCAGTTCAGCAGTAACTCCAGGGGGCCCACACAAACTCATTGTTATTCACGTGAGGCCTTTCGGGGACATTTTTGGAAAATGACTTGTCAGCAGATGTGTATTTGCACGGCGATGTCCTCCATCCAGGACCCTGCGAGTCCCCATACTGCCTCCATGCCCTTGGCTCACTCAGGTGACCTTCAGCTCGCTCCTCCACCGCCTGGGGCACAGCACGTGCGTCAGCAACCAGAGGGAAAGCAGCTGTTCTGGTCCATCTCTTGGGACCATTTTAGGGGCTAAGACAAATGAGTTTCTAAGAGGAGCAAGTGGTAACCAGGGCCCCAACCAGGCTGCCTGGGAAGCAGGGGGGCACCAAGGGCATTTTTAGCCATTGGGGTGAAGACATTAAAGCACAGGCAACACCCCAGCACCCAGGGGTGTGACAGAGCCACCTCTATCTCAGCAGGTGGTCACACCGGCATTGTCTGGGCCTGCACTTGACTCCCAACATGTCTACAAATGTCACTGCATGCGACTCAGACACTCGGGATTCATGGTCACAGCAGTTCGTAGAGCAGGCTCACTAAGCAGTTCAGGGAAGCATCTTCTTTGTTACTTGGTAAACTAAACACTCATTGGCTATTGCACTGGACTGGCTCCCAGGGAAGGAAAAAAAGGGCAAGTGCTCAAAGAAGCTGACGACGGAGCGGGGACAGCAGTTATTCTCCGCCAAGGCTGTGAAGCACCTTTGCTATTTCACTGCTTTGGACTAGGTCCAGCTGCCCCGCCCCACGTTAGAATTGAAGAGATTCAACAATGATGTTACCGCTGGCCTAGCATAACAACATGACACTTCTGGTGGTCCTGCTTCAGAGTGGGCAGACCCGGGACTGGGGACGGCCCGGTGGGGATTCCTTAGACAGTTGCCAGGGGAAAGAGGGAGGCAGGCAGCTGGTTCCCTTAGAGCTTCATGAGGCCACCGTCCCTGCAGCCCCTTGGCCACAGCATTCAGCTGAGGTGGGCAGGGATGGAGGAATCCCGCCTTCCAAGCAAGAGTCCCGGGTTTGATTTCCGGGACTCTTAAATAATACATAAATATTATTTATATTTAAGTATATATAAATAATAAAAATTTAAAAATAGTGTTTTGGGAGGCAGAATGGTGTAGGGCTTGGGACACAGCATTTGCAGCCTGAAAGATCTGGGTTGGAACCCATCTCTGCTGGTAAGAATAATGAGACCTGGAGAAATTGTCTAACCTCTCTAGAAAGGTTCTTCATGAGTGAAATGGGACTGAGTCTAATTTGCACGGTGTTTGGTGTAGGTGAAAGCCCCTATCTTTCACTTATCTGTGTGGGATGTCTGGCATATACAGTCAACGAAGAGTAACTGTGTACATATTAACATTTATCACTTGGTGCTTATTGTGTTGCAGGATCTCTTCCAAATGCTTGATAACAACTCATTTAATCCTCACAATCACCTATTGTGATGTTTCATTGTTTTTCCTAGTTTACAGATCGAGAAAAGAAGGGACCAGAGAGGTTCAGTAATTTACCCAATATCACACAGCAGGAAAGGTGGTAGAGTAAGGATATGAAGCCAGGCAGTCTGGCTCCAGGGCCCCGGTGTTGGGCCACTACGCCATCTAGTCGCACTGATGACTGTGAATACATTTCTCCAAAGGAGGGGCAAGAAGGTGATTCTTGAAAGAGAACTGAAGGCTGTGCACAGACACAGGCACAGGCATTTCATATCAGGTGCCTAATGTGAACCGAGTCACGCCAACTTCTTCAGCTGTGGGAATTCGGCACTGCGGGGATCTTAAGTGCCCATCGGAGATTCTCTAACACAGCTCCAGGTAGAAAATAAAACAAACCACAAAGCAAACCAAAGCTAGGTCTGGTTTGACTAGGTCTGAAGCAAGATTCTTCACCAGAACCTCTCGTTGTCTTTCCGAATTATCAACGGGGCCCTTTGGAAGCTGCGGGTCCCTCTGTTAAAGTCTAGAAATCATCGGGATCAAACCTGAAGCCAAACATTAACTTTGGCCCAAAGCCCAGGATTACTAAGAGGAAAAGAGGGCCAGAAAGACCAGACAAACTGGGCCTCCGCTGTTTCTCCCTGTCGTTTTGAATGGCTGCTTCTGCGCCTCTTGTTCTCTACCTTAGAAATGTCCATCACCTGGCTAACCCACCTCACACCCGCGTGTTAGGAAGGCACTTTTTCTGTTCTTCCCCACCTGGAAGTAATCGCTCATTACTGTGACGATGCCTTAGTCCTTAGACTTTGCTTTCATGTAAAGGTATTCTGGTTAGCAAAGCAAACTTTCGGCCCCTCAGTGACAAAAACAGTGCCTCCCTCTGTGTGGGCCTCAGCAGGAACCTTGCAAAGAGCAGATGCTAAATAATTATCAGGTTAAATTTCTGATCTGGAAGTGTAGAGCGAACCTGTAAACATGCCCCATTTTAATCAACTCTCTGGCATAATGAATAGCTCAACCTAAATAAGTCAGCATCTTAGCATTTCTCCTATATATGGGGAGAAGAAAAAAATGTGGAGTATGTCTAATAAAAATTGTGGAGTATGTCTAATATTTCCGGTAAATTTTGCTTAAAATTTTCCAATTGGACTCTTTAGGCAGAACAATTTATTCACACCCTTGCATGGTCTACGCTCGTTACTTAGGTTTATGGCATTAGGAATTTATGATATCAAGATCACCACCTCCCCAAAAGCACACAGCACAATCAAAAATTCAGTTTTGCTTAACAGCAGTCCTATTCACTGACATTTCTCAGCAGAAAGTTAGCCTAGTTATTATAGGGTTGGAATCCTGCTGCTAGGCTGCCCGAATTTAAATTATAGCCCTGCCAATAAACAAGTTCCACACCTGTTGTGCTTCATTTTTATTATCTCTAAAATAAATTTAATAATAATTGTTATATCATATTATTACTATCACCAACACATAAAAATTTTGTGAGGATTAAACGAGGTAATACAGGGCAAGTGTTCAGAAAAGTATCAGTAAACATGATTACCGTTGTTCTTCAATGTTGCCAAGTGGGAATGAGCATAGATATACTTCCAAGTTTGAAACTCTTGCAGTGCCAGGAGTATTTGTAAATTTCCACCATATTTGCTTCCTTATTTTCTAAGGTATCAATCCTTTTCTTTTGAGGCGCTGCAGAATACACCCTCTAACCTACTCTGATCTTTCAGATGTAGCAAATATTAACTTTCTAAAGTTATTGTGTCTTAAGATTAATTATATGTGGCAAAAGAACTGAATATGTGTCAAGTGCAACATCTAAACTTAAATATCAAGAATGAAAATCTCTATGCATACGAAATATAGATTATAAAGAAATGAAATACCTTATGGCAAATAATTCTTATGTGGTATTTTCCATTCAAGTATGCTAATTGCCAAGGTCCTAGGAACTATTAAGAAATGCAGTATGCGGTCCCTGAGTGTATTTTACTTAATGCATTCATTCACGTAGTCAGAATCTTGAACGTGGTAAGTTCCATGTTGGGTACTTTCTACATTTATAAAATGGGTCAAAGTTAAAGAATGTGATTATGAGAGAATTGATTCTGATACATTTAAGAAATATGACATATTTTGATAAGTACGGGAAATGACTGACAAATGTCTTCTGATTTCACAGAAAAAAATAGTCTTTTCCCAAGCCATCCCTATCCTTTTAGACTTTAAAATGTCCATTTGGAAGTTCTATTTATGGAGTGGAGAGCATGTCCCTCCACAGGTTGACGATAAAAGCTTTGTGGAAATTTTCCAAAAGGTTGGTTAAGCTGGGCTCGGCTGTAGTGTACCCTCAGGATAACATGCACACCGTTAGGGCTCTGAAATACCCGTGACTAATGTTTCCTGCTATTCATTACAGGGGGACAGCGGCGGGCCACTTGTTTGTGAGCAGCCTGGAGGACAGTGGACATTGTTTGGCCTAACTTCATGGGGCTCCGTCTGCTTTTCCAAAGTCCTGGGGCCTGGAGTTTACAGCAATGTGTCCTACTTCACCAAGTGGATTGAGAGACAAATATACATTCACACCTTCCTCCTAAACTGATTCCAAAGATGACCAGAGACGTGGCCAGCGACACTCAGAGAAAACGGGGTCTTGGCTGTGGAGCACTTTCTGCAAACAGCTGTACAGAAAAGCACTCCCTGGGCACATGGACAGGGGTGCTGGGCAGTGCACTGCACGCCTCCATGCTTGTTTCAGGCTAATGTTATTCAGCTTTATTTTCAGCTTTATTTTTCTTACTTCAAGTTCGATGAAAGTCTTTTTTTTTTTTTTAAAGCAAAGCTTATTTTGTTGTTTTGTCAGCCTAACCTTGACCACTAGTGCGAAATTGCCGGCCCTGAAGAGTGAGGGTAATGCAGGCGCCAGGGCAACAGTTATAAAGTTCCCTCTTATCCAGTCACAAAAAAAGGACACTGAGATGCAGGCTGACCAATCTTGGCCAGCTTTTGTTTCTCAAGTACAATAGCATAGTGGCAACTTTCATATAAGCCTTGGTGACTTGCTTTTGATTTATTAAAAGCCAAGATAATTTACATGCTTAAGTTATTGACTATGACTCTTCTAAAGTCTTTAAAATGTTGAGCACTGATGAAAGACAGAGGCGAAAGACAAGTAGCATCCCTGTAGGTCGCTGCAGCAGCAAGACACACTGAACACAGAGCTCTTTAGACATCACTATGAGCACTGACATGGTAGGGTTGCGTGTTCTGAATTTAAGCCAAGGTTGTAATGTGGTAGAAAAGTCTCCACAGAACTTTCCCTATAGCTGGGGTTTGTTCAGTATCTGACTGAGATTTCAAAAACCAGGAAAATATCCATGGGCAATATTTTTATTTGGTTCCCCCTATGTGACGATTGAATTTGAGATTCTACTTTGCCAAAGGAGAACTCGCCTTAGACTGCAGAGATGCAATTTAAAAAAAAATTAAATTGCACCTTACCCCAGTGAAATATTTTCCAGTGTGTCCATACCAATGAAGTACAGAAATGTATCTCAAAGCACAGGAAAGCTCTGCATAACATTTTGTAATTTTCCCTGAAAGATATTTAATATCTGGTGTTGCTAATTCTTCCCATCGATAATTAAAGCAAACATTTAAAGATGCTTTTAAGCACTAGGCCACTTACCCACATCAATATCTTTAGTGATTAGTGGTTACTTTTTCCACACTAAAAAGCTTCAGAACACAAGTCATCACCTGCACCTAATTTAGTCAGCCAGGCACCCATTTTTGCAACATCCAAATGCCTTTGGAACAAGTAGGATTCCCTACTAAGCTCCACCAGCAACCTGGACTGCCTCCGCATTCCACATAGAGACTACCTGCAGTTTTATACATGTATTTTTGTACTCTTTTCTACGTGCGCACATATTTGAAATCCAAAAAAGTTGTCTTGACACTTTCCATGTTATTCATCGCTTGTTCTGTAGTTTGTATAAATGTACTGAGAATGTGACATCCAGCAATTGAATGTTGGTCACAAATGTATGGAAGTTGAAGAATATGGGTCAGTTTTGTTTTGTTTTGGTTGTAGGTACATACTTAATGTAACGACTTTTAGCCTTGCTCAACTGATGTTCAGTGAAATGTACATGTTGTACTTATTTTAAATAACCATTAATACAAATAAAATGGTATACTCTCTTTTTTTTATGTGTGTGGAGCATGGATAGTATGTCCCGGAAAATTGTCTTTCCCAATATAATAGTTGGCACCCAATTTCTCCCCAGTCAAAATACCTGTCTTCTATCGGACTTTCACAGGAACGTGCTTTGACTTTACAGGACAGGTAACGCCTTGATTAGTCTGGAATTAGGGTTGCTAATACTCTCAAATTACCCATGGAGCATCCAACAAAAACTGTAGCCCTGGTAAGAGTGTAAGGATTTTTAATGTCTAGAGTACATTTCAGGAAATGGATCCAATTCTTTCGTAAGTCTTTTGGGGTAAAATTGCATCCCCAAATGTATACTATTAAGCACGTTTCTTTGGCTACTAGGAGCAATTATGTTAATTTCTCAAATTTTGGTGAAAAACGTTCAATACCGAAATGCAACAGTTCACATCAGCTTGGGTAACCTGTGTAAGAATTTTTTACTTGTAAATGAGACCATTTAAAGGCTTAGAACAGATCCCAGTTCCTTTTCACTTGGGAGGCAGATGTATTTAAGAACCCAGAATTTTTAAAAAATTTAAAAATACACTTTAACATCCAGAAATAAAATACAATTTTTGTACTAAATATTTACTAAATATATAAAAATTATATTAAGTACATGATAGCTTCACCTCTGTTCAGGGCATTGAGTTTGTAACTAATTTATAAAAAAAAAAATCAGTATTCAGTGTTCTTGGGATTTTGGAATCAAGGAATTGTGGCCCCATCACATGAACACTCCAGAGTTTCATCTACTCATAAGTACAGATACTTGACAGTTTTTCTTAGTCTTTTTGGCTCATTCCTTTATCATTAGATTCTAAAACTTTATTAGAGAAAATATTTCTAATTTTTTATTTATCAGAAGATTTATCTCAGGGAATGAATGTCAGCTACTATGAGGATAACAAGTGATATAACATCATAGATTTTTCCGTATAAGAAAAAGCCCAAACAATATTCTGGTAAAAGGTGTACTTAGAGATTTTCCTTCTAAGTTCTGGTACCAATTACAGTTGGATTCAGTGAGTATCCACAGGAGTGATGTCAGTTTTGTATCACATTATTTATTAAACAGTTTATTTAAAATAAAAATCTATAAGGAAGCAGAAAGCAACTTCCATTAGCTATGTGGGATTTTGAAAGTTCTGGAAATTGGTCTATATAAAAGACTATTTACAATAATATCAGAAGGCTACAAAAATAGGACAGTAGGCAGTAGGTAGAAGATAAAGTCCTGAGAATAATAGTTTAATAGTCATTAAGACAACTTTGATAAAGAAACAAAACATTAGCATGGAGATTTCATGAAGGGAATTCTGGGTGATTGGTGGCTGACAATTTTCAGATGAACCGATGTAGAATTTTAAAAGAACTCAACAAGAATACATGATTTTACAACTGGCCTTATTTGGTATAAACTAGTTTCTTGTTCCAGCAAAAGTCAGCATACATGATTTGCAACAGCAGTTAACCTGCAATAGATATTTCTGTTCTAAAATGTATTAAAATACAAATTTTTTTAAGAACCTCATGGAATCCTGAGAACCACCTGTCCTAGTCTCAATTCCTAGCTCATTTTTAGAGGTTACAACCCCCAAAAAGTTGTATGGCATTGCAAGGACTATGAACTCTCAAATGGTCTCTTGATGATTGTTTTGAAATTGATTGTCTCATCTTGATCAGGCTATTGTCAGTTTTAGGATATGACAGGATATTGCCAAATGGCCCACGGGCTCAGCTGATTCTGTGTCTCACCCATGGCTTCTGTTCCCCAATGAACATCTGCACACAGGTTGACCCATTACCTGATGGAGGCCTAGCCTCCCCCTTGCCCCTTCCCAATGAAGGCTCCACCGCAAGAGAACACTGAAATGAACAGAGAGGTATGCCTAAGCATCTTCAGTCAGAAGACCAAAAACATCTCAGGAAATAAAAAGCTATTAATAACTAACTATATTCTATTTTTCTATTTTAGGTACATTGTTGTTTAAAGGGCTCTTGTAACCTTTTTCCTCTGGAAATTAGCTGTTTATAACTTTTTTTTTTCCATGTGGAACTCTTTGAATTCCAACTAATCAATCCAACTACTTTTTTTTTTCTTAAAAAAAATCAAATCAGATTAGAGTCTGCTCAGTTAAAGCATTTCTCTGGAATCTGAGATCTCACAGTAAAATAAATATATCTCAAATAGTGAAAACACTTATATGTCTAAGACAATTAAAATGCTCTCTTAAAATCCAAAATGTTTCATAAAAACATTTGATTCTGAATTAAATACTTTAATTCCCTAAACTCTGTCTAGGTCAAACCCTATCCTCTCTTACAAATGCATCTGTGAACATACCATCAAGGTCATCACATTGGCTTTTTCAGACCAGTAACATATTCATGACCCTTAAGGGAAATCCAAGTCACTCTTGCTTGGTAGAGGTGCATCTTCAAAGTCCTCTTCCAAACTCGAAGGGATCCTTGCAACTCCAAAGAGGGTATCCTGCCTTTTTAACCCTTTGAGGGTCCAGCCACCCATGAGGTCTTGGTTTCACAACAGTCTGAGTCCAAGGCAGTTTCATGTAGATTTCCGTGCTCAGCAGCACAAGAAGTTGCTGACATCATGGCAAAGACAACAGAAGGGCCGCTCATGGCTCCTCTCTCTGACTTGGCAGCTGAGTGGTCAGCACACTTAGACGTCGCTTGACCCATCTTTCCAGCCCCTCTCCACTTCTTGAGGGCTTCAGTCCTCTCCTCTGGAGTCAGTCTGTCCAAGTGCTTAGCCCTCAGGAGTGGAGACGGAAACAGGGATCCCTGAAGAACTCGGTAGATAAACCTAGGTTACAAAAAGCATCACGGAATTACCTTCACCTCAAGTGCATCAGAGGACACAAAAAATACTCACCAATTAGAACTAGTAGAAGGGTGGTCTGGTGGCCCCCTTGAGGTAAAGGGGGAGGATAAGCAAAATATAAAATAGAAATGACAACAATATTAAATAAATTAATATTTGTAAAACACTAGTAGTGAGTGCCTTATGAGTGCTTGTTAAACAAACAAAAATGTATAATAGTAGAGATACCAACAGTGCTGCATCATAGGTGTAATGTTAGGTTAAATAAGAAAGTACATGTAAAGCAGTCAGAGTGTTGGCACATAGCAAGTGTTCAAAAAATGTTAGCTATGAATGGCTTACAGCTACGGTAACAAATTACCACAAACTCGTCCTGCAGCTGGCAGTGTTTATGCTGTTATAGCATTCTCAAAAGCCTTGTGGGTCACCAATGTATGTCATGGGGATCTATGCCATTAGATAAGAGGGTCTTCCACAGATCTTTCCTGTATAATCCCATCTCCTCTCTTGAAGGCTGTAGAGATGGTAGAGGGATCCATGAGTCACACCCCTAATCTCTAGCAAAAGGTCTTCCAGCCATACTCTTGGCCTCTCTAGAGCATACTCAAAAGAATCAGTCTCCTGATTTTAGCAACTTCTAAAATCTGGATAGGCTGAGGATTTCCTAAATCTAGTTCCTTTTAACTTCAATAGTTCTTCCTTCATCTCTTTTCTCTCACAATTTATCATAAGCAACAAGAAAAAACCAGGCCAGACCTTCAACACTTTGCTTGGAAATCTCCTCAGCTAAATATTCAAGTTCAAAATTTACAAAGTCTGCTTTCCACATAATAGTAATGTTTTTCGGCTACATTTTCTGCTGCCGTATTGCCAAGATCCATTTACCTTAAATTTCCAATAACTTGTTCCTAATTTCATTTTGAGTCTTCACCAGCAGTGCCTTTAACTTTCACATTTCTAGCAATGTCCTGTTTATGATAATATATGTATTTTCTAGGCTTTCCCTCTCACGCTTTCTCACTTTCTTCTGAGTCCTCACCAGCAAGCATTGATGTCCATATTTCTATCTATAGTCTGTTTAGGAAGTCCCGTATTTCTCTATGATGTGCCTCAAAATTCTTCCAGTCTCTGCCCAGTACCCAATTTCAAAGCCACTTGCACATTTTTGAGTATTTGTTACAGCAGCACCCATCTTCCTGGCAGCAAAACTTACATGTTTCCTGTGGCTGCTGTAACAAGTTACCACAAACTTAGCGGCTTAGAACAACAACAATTTATTCTCTCATAGTTCCGAAGGCCGGGGATTCTGAAAACACTTTCACTGGGCCAAAATGACTGTTTCAGAAGGCCCATGCTCCCTCTGGAGGATCCACTCCTTGCTTCCTCCGGCTCCCGGGGGCTGTCAGCATGCCTGGGCTTATGGCGAAGGAAACTCTGGCTCCCTGGTCACAGTGCCTTCTCTTTTGTCTGGTCAGATCTCCTTCTGCCTCTCTCTTATAAGGACGCTTGCTATTTCATTTAGGGCCCACGCAGCTAATACAGGCTGTTCTCCCTGCCTCAACACCCTTAACATAATCACATCTGCCAAGACCACCTTTGCTACATAAGGTAATACTTACAGGTCCTAACGATTAGGACATGGATATCTTTTTAGGGGGGTCATTTTTTCAGCCTACCACAGCAATATTAGAATTTTAATGGTAATACTCTTGAAGGAATTTCTGAAGGCTATAACTTTAATTGTTTCTTCATAAATTCTACAAGTTCATCTTGTCAGTATTTTAAATCTTAGAGCTGGGAATAACAGTGAACACTACAGAAGCACTTCCGTTTGAGAGAAATTGTTAAGTATGCGACTGTAACCACCGCAGAATGACTCAGGTGGGTTTCCTTGTGCATTTCTAGAAGGGATGTCCACTAGCAAAAAAGGTTTGTGGCCGTTGTGCTTGATGATGGTGTTACAGATCAGGGTTGGCAAACTTCTTCCGATGGCCTCGGTAGTGATATTGCAGGCTTTGGAAGCCATTCAGCCTTTGCTGCAACTATTCAACTGTGCCGTAGAGCAGAAGCAGCCACAGACAGTCATTAATGAGCATGGCCATGTTCCAATAATATGTTATTTACAAAATCAGGCAGCAGGCCAGATTTG